CGTAATACTAATAAGAATAATATTAATAATACTACTACTAAGAAAACTGCATATAATAATACTACGAAGAAGACGAATAATAAGACTACCAAGAATACGAACAATAATACGAATACTAAGACTAATAATATAAATAATCAGACTACTAATAAGCATACTAATAATAATAATAAGAATAAGATGAGTAATAATACGAAAAATAAGAATAATAAGGCTACTGTTAAGACTAATAAGAATACCAAGAATAATAACCATACTAATACTACTACTAATAAGAAGAATACTAATACTAACGATAAGAATAATACTACTAATACTAATACGAAGCAAATATCACTATTAATTACAATAATACCAATCGTAATAAGAATACTAAGAATAATAAGACTAATAATAAGAGGAATATTACGACTACGAACAATAATAATAATACGATTTAATAATCATAATACTATGAATAATAAGAGTGATAATAATAATAATACTAATACTATACAGAAGAAGAATACAAAGAAGAAGGAGCACAAGAAAACTAACACTAAGAATAATAAGAAGAAACATAATAATACTATTAATACTAATAGTACTAATAATAATAACATTAAAAAATAATGATAAATATATCAATAATACTAATAATGGTAATAATATTAATGATAATACGAAGAATCATAAGACTAATACTAATAATGATAATGCTAATAATAATACTAAGAAGAATAAGAAAAATAATAAGAACAATCATAATCATAATAATAATAATAAGAATAATAATAAGAAGAATAATGCGAATAATAAGAATACTAATAAGAATAAGAAGAAGAATAATAATACCAATAATAATAAGAAGAATACTAATAAGAATAATAAGACGAATAAGAATAATAAGAATAATAATAATAAGAAGAATAATAAGAATAATAGTAAAAATAATAATACTAATACTAAGAATAATAATAATCATAATAATAGTAATAATAATAAGAAGAAGAAGAATCAGAAGAAGAAGAATAAGAATAATAAGAAGAATAATAATAATACTAATAATAAGAAGAATAAGAAGAATAAGAAGACGAATAAGAAGAATACTAATAAGAATAATAAGAATAAGAAGAAGAATAATAATCATAATAATAATAAAAAGAATAAGAAGAATAATAAGAATAATAATAAGACTAATAAGAATAATAAGAAGAAGAAGAAGAATAAGAGGAGGAGGAGGAGGAAAAGGAGGAGGAGGAAGAGGAGGAGGAGGAAGAGGAGGAGGAGGAGGAGGAGGAAGAGCATGAGGAGAAGGAGGAGGAGGAGGAGGAGGAGGAGGAAGAAAAAAAGGAAGAGGAAGAGGAGGAGGAGGAGGAGGAGGAGGAGGAGGAGGAGGAGGAGGCAGGCGCGGGCGCCCGGCAGGAGAGGATCATCGGGCTGAAGCGCCGCCTCCCCTTCGTCGCCTCTTGGGGGAGGCCATCAACTGCGCGCGCGGGCGACGACGACAACCGGCGACGGCGACGACGACGACGACAGAGCCTGTGCCTGCGGGTTTTCACCGACGACGTAGACGACGCCGACTGGAACGACGACGACGGCGAAGGCGACGACTGCCGCGACGGCGACCGCGATGATGGCAGCAACGTCGGCGGCCGCGACGACAATGACCGCCGCAGCGCCAGCGGCTGTAACAATAGCGACGGCGGCGATGACATCGTAGACGTCGACGGCTACCGCGACGACGACGAATTGATATATTGCTCTTGGCGTCTGCCCAAAGGGGCCATTGAGATGACCAGGACCTTCCGAATGCCCAATGGGATCCCGCGGGGTAATTATGGAAACCCGCCGAGCATTTTAATCCTGTGTGGGGAATTTTCCCATCATCTGCAACACTGCGTGACAGTCAGCACGCCCCAATTGATATGAGAGCTTTTTTTGAAGAAAACGCGACTCTCTCTGGCCCCACTCCTGTATGTCTTTGCTCGCTGATCGGATGCCAGGGGGAAGGAGAGGGAGGGACTCGACGACGACAGCGACGACGACGAGGACGGCCGCGGTGACAAAGGCGACTACGCCAACGCCGGCGACGGCGACGGTGACCGCTTTCGACTTCTCTGCTGAGGGCAGAACAAATCGAAAGGACGATCCTTCCCCTGCCTTCAATCAAGCAGGCGAGAGTGGCGCTCTCGATGTTCGTTGCGCCTGGTGTTCGATAGACGGGGGGGACTCAGGACTCGAGTTTGCCGAAGCTCGTGCTTGCCGCCGCCTTTCCATTAGCCCAGGCAGAATTTCGCATGTTCTCAGTGGGAGCTCGCGTACGTCTCCCTGATCGGCGGATGTGGTCCGTTGCGCAGAGGCCCTCGACGACGGCGGCAGGCAGGCGGCGGCGGCGGCGGCCAGAGCGGTCAAGCTGTCAACTCGTGGGCTTGTTGCTGCTTGTCGGGGCGGCAGCTGCGGGCGGGATCCCGTGGGCGCAGCCGTTCCATGCTGACCGCCGCCAGCGGCCCGGAATCGGCTGGTACATCGAGAGGTGCGCGCCGCCAGAGAGCTGCGACCGTTCATGGATGAACGGTCCACTGGCCCCAGAGACCAGCGTTAAGTCGGGCACGTCCCTCTACATGAGAAGTATCCAAACATAGTAGAAACAACAGCCAGGGGTCGATCTTCAGATAATTTTTTCCAGCATTTTTGAGTATGTTTTGGGCATCCGCCTGCAGGAGGACATGCCCGACCTAAGACCAGCGCGCATGTCGGCACGACACGAACCCGCCGCAGGCGGCGTCCACGAAACCCAACAGAGAGAGGGGCACCTAGGGGGTGGATCCTGCATGCGGAACCCACTCGAGGGCGACTCGAAACTCCACAGTGCTGCCATGACAAGTCGGATTTCCTGAATACTTACCTGACCTATACATCGCAGGGCACCGTCGGCTGGGGTTGGCCCGTCTCTCGGTCCCCGACATCTTTCTGCATATTCCCCAAACGGTGCTTGCTTGCACTTCGGATTTTTTATTTCTCTTCAAAGGAACTGGCTCTGATTGTCAGTCTGGTGGTTAGGTTGTCGCTGTCGCCGCCCCGTCCGCCTCGTCGCCGCCCGTCGGCTGGGCCAGATAGTCGGTCTGGTGGCTGTACTGTCGCCTTCGCCGCCTCGTCGCGGTCTTGTTTACTTGCACCACACACCTTGCATGACATTGAGTGCACCACATCGATTGCACCACATAGATCGCACACTATATATTTCACACAATTAATGCACGACAGATGTTGTACGACATAACTAGATTGCACCGTGCATATTGCACCGCAGATACTGCACCACATAGACTGCAACACTCATATATATTTATATATATATATATGTGTGTATACATATTGCCCCACATAGGGTGCAGACCATCTGTTGCACAGCAGATATCGCTCAACGTATACTGCACAAACATAGGTCGCACTGGATATATTGCACCACATAAATCGCACACCATATAATGCACCCGATTGATCGCACTGCATGTACAGTACCACATCGATTGCACAACATAGGTTATACCACATATATTCTCTTTTTCTAGAACTACCCCCCGGAGTTCACGGTACACCTTTTCGTATTGCAATTTACATATGATTCTGCACATTCGTCCATCCGAAATCTGAATTCATACAATCCGGTATCGTATACCATAGCATACATTGCAGCGCAGCATTATAGCATAGCATATATTGCGCCGCGTACATTGCAAATCATAGATCGTACAACATATATGTTACAACACAGGGGGAACTATCATACCCCAAGGCTCCGTCGATTTCGGAAATGGTGGTGCACAGCCGCCATGGGATGATCTTCATGTACATTCTCATTCATCTCGGTTCTCAGAATCGTCACCGATTTCCCGTAGCCGTTTCGGGCTCAAACGCAGCTTAGGGCTCAGCGTCAGGCTTGTGAGGACAGAGGCGCACTGGGCGCTCGTGCCCTGGGGATGTCCTTCCGCGAGCTTCGAAACTTCTGCGAGGTCATGCGCTCCCTGGGGTACCACCGCCTCATCTCCATGGAGAATTTCCGGTCTCCGAACTTCGAGCTCGTCGCCGACATTTTGGACTGGCTGCTACACCGCTTCGAGCCAAACTGCGCCATCCCCGACGACATCAGCACGGAGGCTCACCGCGTCGAGTTCGTCAAGGCGGTCTGCGAAAAGGTCGTGTTGCGGACAGGCTTGAAGCTCAACGCGCGAAAGCTCTACGGTGCCGATGGATACGCCGTCAAGGAGTTGCTGAGATTGGCCAACGTTCTTTACGAGGCACAGAGATCAGTAGTAGACGTCACCGATGGGTTGACCGACGATTTCGCTCTGAACTCGAAGTTGGCTGACTTGAAAAGCACACGCTCCCTCTGCTCTAGCATTGTCGAATCTGGTGCCTCGCTGTTCGAGTTGCTCCAGAAGGAGTCAGAGAATCGGGCAGACCGCGAGAAGGCGCTATCCTTCTTGGACGGTATGAGCCGGAATCTCGGCAGTAACAGCGAAACCGACGTTATCGAGCGCGTCCTGGCCCAGCAACTAGGGAGTCATGGCCAGAACCTGGAGCAGATGAAGCAGATGTCGGAGGAGCTTCAGCGCGACGAGAAGCAGCTAGAGCAGAAGATTCGCAAGAAGCGCCAGGAGCTGGAACGCTCCCGGAAGCGCCTGGGCAGCCTCGCCAGCGTGCGCCCAGCGTTCATGGACGAGTACGAGCAGCTGGAGCAGGAGCTGGAGCGCTACTACGAGCAGTACGTGGGCCGCTTCCGCAACCTGGACGACGAAGAAGATCATAACGCCTTAAACCGAACTTTTTGGCGCTCCGCGCGGATTTCTTGGATCCCCTCCTCCTCCTCCTCCTCCTCCTCCTCCTCTTCTTTTCGTCCTCATCCTCGTCCTCATCCGCGCGCTGGGCCCCTCCCGGCGGCGCCTCTGGCACCGCCCCCGGCGCGCCCCGCGCGCCAGGGAGGGGGGGTCCCAGCGCGGATCCGAGAAATCCGCGCGGAGCGCCAAAAAAGTTGTGCTCAGTGGCGCTTCTGCTTAAGTCGGGCATGTCCCCCTACAGGGAGATTTTCGACAAAAAATTACTGGGGACTATTCTTTGAGTATTTTTTTGACCTTTTTGGGGTATTTTTGGGGTATTTTTGATTTTTTCGTCGAAAATCTCCCTGTAGGGGGACACGCCCGACATAAGCTTATGCTTCTTCCAGGACTACCTCGAGCACGAGATGGACGCGCTCCACCGCGAGGAGCGGCCACTCGCGCCAGAGATCGGCCCGCTTCGCGCTGGCGCGGGCCCCTCCCCCCCGGGTGTGCAGCCCCCAGGGGGAGCGGGGGGGGGGTCGCAGATCGGGGGCCACACGCGAACCCTGCCCCTACCCCCCACGATTTCTGAGGGGGAGGGTGGGGTTCACTCCGCTCGGGAGCTCCCGAACGAAGGGAACCCCACCCTCCCCCTTAGAAATCGTGGGGGGGAGGGGCAGGGTTCGCGTGTGGCCCCCTAGCAGAGGCCCGAGCGCGCAGGGCCGCCACGGGCCGCGAGCGCGTGCCACGATCGGTAAGCCGCCCACCAGAGGTCACTCCGGTCATCGGAGGCCCAGAGTCGAGTCGGGCAGGTCCCTCTACAGGGGGAGGATTCAAACG